GACACAGCTGGGACAGCTGACCCCAACTGACCAAAGGGATATTCCATACCGTATGATGTCATGCTCAGCAACAAACTAGGGGGAAGGTTGGCTGCGGGTGCCGCTGCTCGGGGACTGTCTGGCCATCGGTTGGTTGATGGTGAGCAATTGTTTTCATTTGCATCACTTGGCTTTCCTTCTTGGGTTTTATTTCTCTCTTTGTTATTTTCCGTTTCATTAAAATATTTATTATTGTTATAGTTATTGTTGTATTTTATTTTATTTCCAATATTAAACCACTCTTACCTCAACCCATGAGTTTTCTCACTTTTACCCTTCCAATTCTCTTCCCCCCATCCCACTGAGGGGGGAGTGAGCGAATGGCTGCATGGTGCTTAGTTGCCAGCTAGAGTTAAACCATGACAGTCCTTTTTGGCACCCAACGTGGGGCTCAAAGGGTTTGAGATAATAGCAGATGACCAGAGCATATTAGAAGGGATTTATATCTGTTAACAGTTGTGGGTGACGACATTGATCCATCTGTTCTTGATATTAGTTGATCTGATCTGCCCTATACTCTTTTTTGCTGTACATGTTAAAGATTGGTGTTGGCTTTTGCAGTTTGCTGCACTCCATAGTGATTAGGGATGTTTTTCCCTGGGAGACTTGTTATTAAAACACTGACCTTGAGCTTAATCTGGTATTTGGGGTCTTTACTGAAGCCATTACTGTACTTCAGATACCATGTCATGGAGACAATTAACAATTATACTTCTTCCTCTGAGAGGTTTTTTGTGGAGGAAATACAGAATGGCACCTTTGCTACCTTCTTCTGTGATGTTTTCTCCCGCACTAAAACTTCTTGGTATCTTGAACATCCTTGGGTAGTTAAAATACTTCTGTTGGTATTTCTTAGGAATATTGCTTTGGTTTTGTCTAAGGTAACAAGCAATTTGGGTATTTGACCCAGGCTCTGCAAGAGCAAGGGCATGAGTGGCATGGCACATGGGAGAATATGGACAGGTATCTAGAGAAATTCTCACCTCCAATGGTCTGGAACTTCACTCCCAAACAACTACAGGATCCTGATGAAGTGATAGAATGCTTGAAAAAAATATGCCATGGCTATTCCAAACAGGCACAACTTACCACACTGTGCTGGGCCCTGGCCAGCATCTACCACACCCTACGTGATATTATGCACCACCCTCTGAGAGAAGAGAGGGAAAACAAACCAACAGACACTATGGCTAAGCCAGACACTCTATCAGTCACCCCTATAACCAAAAAGAAACAATGGAAGCGTAAGTCAGCTTGTTTAGTAAGGGATGAAGAAGCTTCTCCCAAGAGGGAGCAGCTTTGCTTCTGAAGACATTGCGGCCCACAGATAAGGCCATGCTGGAACATGGATAGGTCTATGCCGCAGCAGGTATACCCCTGAAGAGACTGTGGCGCCTAGATAAGGCTCACTTAGAGCAGGCACACCCCTAAGGGACCGCAGTCTTGGACAAGTCCAAGCCAGAGCAGGTGCAAGGGGACGAGTTCATTGCAATGTTAAACCCTGCGGTTTGGTCTAAAGGTACCAGGAGTGGAGATTCTAATGGAAATACCTTTAAATTGTTGTAACCCTGGATTTGAGATGCATGTTACGGGAACTGCTATAGCAGGAACCCCTTGCTGATAACCAGACTAGAGGCAAGGGGAGGACTTCACTGCAGTGCTAAACCCTATAACCTGGCCCAAAGGGACCAGTGGTGGAGGCAGTAATGGATATACCTTTAAATTGTTGTAGCTCATGATCCGAGTTGCATGTTATAGGAATTACTGTAGCAGGAACCATGTGAACCAACGGAGGACAAGCCCTATAAGCTTGTGCTTGGAGCACAAGCAGTGCAAAAGGAGCGGTGACCCAACCTGAGTTGGCTTTGGTGCCCAATAACTCCATGCAACACACTACCTCTTCTGTCCTGAATGACCACCTGTCCTGGTTTCAGCTGGGATGGAGTTACTTTTCTTCACAGATGCTAGTGTAAGGCTGTATTTTGGATTTGAGATGAAAAAATGTTGATAACGTACTGATGTTTTCAGTTGTTGCTAAGCAGTCAAGAACTTTTGATGTTGGACTGCCAATGAGAAGGCTAGGGGTGCACGGGAAGCCGGAGGGGACACAGCCGGAACAGCTGACCCAAACTAGCCAAAGAGATATTCCATACCACCTGATGTCACACTCAGCATATAAAGCTGGGGTGAAGAAGAAGGAAGGGGAGGAGGGACGTTTGGAGTGATGGCCTCTGTCTTCTCAAGTAACCGTTATGCATGATGGAGCCCTGCTTTCCTGGAGATGGCTGAATTCCTGTCTGCCGATGGGAAGTGGTGAATGAATTCCTTGTTTTGCTCTGCTTGCGTGCACAGCTTTTGCTTTACCTGTTAAACTGCCTTTATCTCAACCCTTCAGTTTTCTCTCTTTTACTCTTCTGATTCTCTCCCCTGTCCCACTGTGGGGGAGTGAGCAAGAGGTTGCGTGGTGCTTAGTTGCCAGCTGGGGTTAAACCACGACACCGCCATAAGAGATGGAGCCCAGAGCCCAGTTGCCAGCTGGGGTTAAACCACGACACCGTCATAAGAGATGGAGCCCAGAGTGGACATTTTGTGGACATTTTTGGACATTTTATAGACATTTTACAAAGGTGGTCCATAGACTAAAGGAATGGTATCTGTGTATTATACCAAAGGATGAGAAGCAGGGTGGTGGTTAATGAAGATATATTGGATACTGTGGGACCTGAGCATGATGTAAATGGTATGGAATAAGGGGTAGAAAATGTGCTGGGTTTGGCTGGGATAGAGTTAATTTTCTTCATAGTAGCTAGTGTGGGGCTACGTCTTGGATTTGTGGTGAAAACAGTGCTGATAACACAGGGATGCTTTAGTTACTGCTGAGCAGTGCTTACACAGAGTCAAGGCCATTTCTGCTCCTCACACCGCCCCACCAGTGAGTAGACTGGGGCTGCACAAGAAGCTGGGAGGGGACACAGCTGGGACAGCTGACCCCAACTGACCAAAGGGATATTCCATACCGTATGATGTCATGCTCAGCAACAAACTAGGGGGAAGGTTGGCTGCGGGTGCTGCTGCTCGGGGACTGTCTGAGCATCGGTTGGTTGATGGTGAGCAATTGTTTTCATTTGCATCACTTGGCTTTCCTTCTTGGGTTTTATTTCTCTCTTTGTTATTTTCCTTTTCATTATTATTATTGTTGTTGTTATTTCAATTATAAAACCATTCTTATGTCAACCCATGATTTTTTTCTCTTTTATCCTTTCAATTCTCTTCCTTCCGATCCTGCTGTGGGGGGAGCAAGCGGCTGCGTGGTGCTTAGTTGCCAGCTGGGGTTAAACCACAGCATTTTGTTAATCAGATTCTCTTGTTAATGATGTGATATTGCTATAAGACCTTCCACCAAGGAAAGTAACAGTCAAAAGACTTCCCATTTCCTTAAACCAACAAATGTAATAAATTTTTTCCTTTAATGCAGATTAAAGTGACAGGCTTGTAGAATCTAATGAACCAACAATTACTGTTCTAGTAACAATGCTATACAAAACAGGCAAATAACATGCAACCAGATTGTAACCCCGATTGATCTACGCAATCCCGCTTTGCAAGGCTGCATAGTAGTTGGGAGCCAAAAATGGCACCTAATTCACAAAAAGTAAAGGCAGATCCACTGGGGACATTTTGTGAGAAATCAGAGCTAACTTAGGGTATCTGGTACTTCCAAAATCAATTTTAATCAGTTTAAAATTGATAAAAAGAGCATCAACAAACCTTCAGAGCATGAGTCATCGCTGCTCACACTGAGTCGTTCAGCATTTCCTTGAACGTATTTGTTGTACAGTTTTATTCGTAAAGCCCAGCTAAGATCTGGTTGCCTGACAGTATTCTTCAGGCGACGTCTTGCATTGGCAAACCAGTTTGATACCTGCACACAAATTAATGTATTAGTTTCTTTTGAAAACAATGCAAATAAACAAATCTAACTCATAAGGTTTTCATGAGTTTTATGTATGCCCTGAGAAAACGGCAAACAAAGGAAACATGAAGAGCAGTCCATGCAACTATCACTGAGCAGGATCCTCAGACAAGAAGGCAGGTTCAGGCTTTCCAACTTCCCAAGCGTTAGCAAACCCTCATTATTAACAAGGTGTTAATTAAGGTGTCCCAAAATACTGATTTTGTATTAACCTTTCTTTTTTTTTAAAGACAATGCCCTGAACTTTCAATACGAATCTTTGACATATTACTAACATCCTAAATTAAAAAGAATAGCTAATGTTTGGTAATTTGCCTTTGACATTTATGTAGGCTACAATAAGGCTGTTGAACAGAAAAACCCATTCTGAATTTGGTTATATAAAAGCTCACATTCTCCCTCGTGCCTGATCAGCAGTCTGACAGCTAATGGGTATCAGGAAAGTCTTACACAGAATATAACCTGCTTTGAGTCACTGCAGAAATCAACTATTCACTCTACAGAGCAGCAGCTTTTATGAACCCTTCCTGTTATGGAAACCCTAAAAAGCAGTGAAGATGCAGATTCCTCACACAGTGACTACTAAACAAGAGACTACTAAAACAAGTCTTCCTTCTCAGCTGCAGAGCAATTTCTAGAGTTTGACACTGCAAAACAGATACACATTAGTATTCTTCCACCATACAGGGACACCAGAAAGTCAGGCTCAAACACAAGAATTTCGCACTGCTTTAGGTACCAAAGGAACAAAAGGGGACAGTATAGTCTTCCATGCCAGCAGTGCTAATCAAACCATCAAATGGGATGTGCGCCCTTCCAGTGACTTGGCATGAAAGCGTACCCGAGAAAATGCTGGCCTTGATTCTACTGTACATGAAAAATACATAAAATAGGAAATACTGATACTGACAGAGTGACCTTACCATAACCTTACTACAAGCAAGAGCACAGGCAAGCTACCTACACTCTAACAATATTTATTTAATGATAAATCAGGTCTTTAAAATGCTATTTACTCCTTGCAGGAATAAGTATTTTGACGTGACCTCTGCAAGAAGGAGGCAGAGTAGCATTACTTACAAAGGAGAATGTAAAGAATGTTGGGAGAGTCTATAGCCCCACTCACATCTTTGTGTTGTGAAAGTGCTCAGAGAGGAAGCTGAGACTACTGCAGTCATATTCTGACCTGGGAACGGTCATACCATTTCATTTATGTTAACCTGCAAAGCAAGTTAACACATGTTTTATGTGTTACATGTGTTACATGCTACCGTACCTACTAGAGAGCCAAACTCTAGACCTCAGTGTTGGATTTTGGCCCCAGTTTTGTCATCTGTCTATTGTAGCTAAGATTGTATAAATTGCACAGATTTGGCTAATTATTCTGGACTGACAATGTCTTCTAGGGTGATTATGAGAAAAATAAACACCATCTGCTCAAAGGAAAAACAAAACTTTGGTTCAGACTTCCACCCAGAACTCAGCGGTGGTGCCTTAAGCCTGACATTTTGATGTTACTTAAAATCACATTTACATGAAACAGGGTTCCACTGAAAATACAGTGAGCCCTGGATCAGCGCTCAGATGCTAAACACGTAACCTTACAAACCATGTAGTTAACTATGACAGGTTAGAAGATCAAAACTGTAGCTGGCAGAGAAGAGTAAGTAATTTTCATTCTCTTCCAAGGCTAGTTGTTTATATTCATCATATTGACACAGCAATCATTATAGTAAACCAGAAAGGGTGGGCTGGAATCCATCCACTTTCTAACACTGTTAACAAACTCACTCCAGACTGTTCAGCTGAAGCAGCAGTCACCTGGCTGCTATGTGATTTAGTGTAACTCTGAAATCAAGTATGTAACGGTAGAGATGGATCAATCCAGTGTCCCGCTGAATATTATAGCAGTTACTGGCAGCATCTCACAAAACTGACAGCTTTCCAACATCTCACTAGAAAGGGTTTCATTATGCTCCATTTCATTACATATTGAAATATTTCATCAGTGAAGTGCCATGTACAGAAGAGAAAGATAGGGTAGTATTAGTGTGACTCATACATAAAAGCAATTAAATTTAGCAGGAGTGATTTTTGCATGGTACTCTGGGTTTATTTTGGGCTCATTCTTCCCATGCCAACGCTTTGCTTTCTGCATATCAATAGGAAAAGATGAGTCATATTTTAAGTCTTCTGCTATGAGAGGAGGAAATAGTAGTATTTGATCATTATGAAAGAACCCACAGTCAGCATTTACAAGAGGAGCTTTCGTCTAAAGCACAGAGCAGCAAACTCACTCCAGAAACTCTTCTCCCAAATGCAATTACAACAAGGTCTGATAAAGCTGAAGGAAAAGTTACGCAAAACCATTTAAGGGATTTTTAGGCTAGATCTACGGTGTGGTATTTCAGGGTGCTTTCCTGCTCTCGGACCCCGGTGTATGTGGCTGGAAAATCTTGATCTCTAAGACATCAAGAGATTCAACATGTCTCCCACTCTTGTCCTGGACTGGAAGAGGCTGCATGGCCACAGGCTGGTACCAGGCAGCACGCTCGCCCTGAGCGCCAGCCACCACCGGGGTTATTACAGGCTGTTCCTGGCTCCTTTAAAGCCAGCGACAGTTTTGTCACTAATTTCAAGCAGCCCCACATGTTACCTTGTGTATCCGTGTGGTCTTTAAAAAGTTGCCTATTGCTGTAGGTCCCACTCATTACAAGTGCCTGTTTGCACCACGCTTAAGTTATTACAAAAAGAAACAACCAAAGCTGCCAAAAGCCAACCATCCTTTACCACGGTCCCAAGTTACAGTGCTGTGACCTCTAAAAATAATAAAAAAACCCAAAACAATGATTTACATACATGTCAGTGGGAAAATCTTTGCCTCAGAAACCTCCCAAAGAACTAAGTATCTTGAAAAAACGCATGATGAAATTCACTATTCTTGTAAAGTAACAATCATGTAATTCTCAAGAAATAAAAAGACAAAACCCAAAGAGAACGATAATAGCTGTTCTTTCCAGCATTCATATTTTACAGCAGCTCAGTCAGTCCCAAAGAGCATCAGGTATTTATATCGGCATCATGAAATACTGACCCTCTGGCTTTACTTCTGAAGACACTCTTCAATTTTATTGTAATTTTCTTTGCCTCACTGCTTAAGAGTGGCCAAAGTTTCAGAAATGTAACAGAAATCAAGTGATTCTCCTCCTCCAGTAATCCAGATATGCCTTTATGAATCTGAATAGTACTAAATCCATAGCAGCACATGACCAATATATTAAACCTAGCATTGAAAAAACTTCTCTTCAACAATACGGCCATTCATATTTCTTTCTGGAAGGAATATACAGCCATTTTTCTTTTTTATTTCACAAGAACATTGAAATGAAAATTTAGAATAAAATAAATCAGGCACTGTGGTAATAATACAAATTAAAATGTAGCATATTAATAGTATATTAATAGGACAAATTATTGGATTCTGAATTGGAACTGGAATAAAACATAAAATGCCTTTTCAAACTATATTGCTTTTTTGGTTTCCTGCTTTGGCAGTTCGGGAAGTAGAAAATTTTGGACTGTTGGACTGAAAGCTGCAATAACATTTGCCTTGAGGACTCCCGAAGACCTTGTTGGCCTGCTCAGGAATAAGTCAGCCCAGAATTTGCCCCAGGTTTTGCTACCACTTGTTAAGGAAGAAGATGATTTATGATTCCTGTGAAATCCTACCTCCTTGAAAGAGTTTGACTTTCCTTCTGCAGTGCTGACAGACACACAGCTAGAACAGCCCCCTTGCTGCCCCGCTGCACCCAGAACAGGGGTTAAGCTGAAATATTAGTGAGGTAAATTAACTTAAAATCAGCCAACTGGGTGATAGCAAAACTAATTAAAATAAAGTTGTGGAAGATTTGACATGCAGACACTGTCCTAATAATAACAGCAGAAAACAGGGCTGGATGTTCACCGCCTTATCTCACAAAATGATCGGTTTTATGTATGCCACAGTCCTGCAAAAGCTCCTTTGGATAGACAGTACGTGCTGGAACAAGGTTCATTAGATGAAAGAAAAGCACGTGGAGAAGAGTTGCAGCTATATTTTCAACATCACTGTGACCAACATCATCTTCCAGGCAGCTGCTGAAGACCTTTTCCAAGGTTGGCAGTCAGGTGAAAAAAAACAAAACCCACCATTCATTCCCTAAGCGGCATTTTGGCGGAAACTCAAAAGGATTTTCGACAGTATCTTTTGCCTTCCCTAGGGCTTCCAACGACAAGGCGTCAGCACATGAGGGAAGCTGCGAAGAGGTAACAGCTGCCAGCAGACAACAGCCAGGAGTGGAAAGCTGGGGGCAAGCGCACATTCCCACCAAGAGCAAACGGGACAGCACCGAGAAATGGAAGAAGAGTAGAAAATACGAGACAGGTCAGCGAATGTGAAGGCGTGTAAACGCGGGGAAAACATCGCACACTGATTCCTGGCTCTCCAACAACGTCTGGTGTTACTAGATTAGAAAAGCAATCACAGGAGACTCTGGCTGATGCTTTTGCAAAGTGCCCCTCCTGGGACAGAAGCAAAGTTTTCCAACAGATACCGCAGCCCAGTCCGAGCCTGCTCTTGGCTGTACCACTCAGCTGAAAGAGCACAGCCTTCGGGGAAGCTATTTCAGATGTACCCAGTGTGACTGAGATCACAGCCTGGCACTTTCTCTCTCACTCTCAGAGAACAAGAATTTTGATCTGGATTACAGTCTTGTTCTTTCTGGGCATCCAAACAGTAGATGTGGGGTTTGCGTTCTTTTGTTCTTCCAGGCTCAGGAATTACTGCTGGTGCCAGACGTATGTATTTACCTCTCGTACAGATGCTATCGTATTTCTGGATTAAAAGAGCATTGCACCCAAATGATGGAAGAAACATCTGGGGCTTCTTTTTGATGGTGTGCTTCTGTAAATGAAGATAGATGTGCTGGTTTGCACAGCTCTTTCAGATATTACAGTTCATAGAAATAAGGCTGGTCAAATTCAGCTTCAGCGTAAATCCACTAGAGTCACAGGGATCTAACAGAGACAGATATAGTCCTCCGTGATTCTTTTTAATATTATTCCACACCTTATGTAGATCGTAAAACTCTGTGGAGTGGTGGCCATGGCTCACTTGATGCTTTTATAGAGGCTAACACAGCATATCCCCATGAGGATTTATCAAAGCTGCCAGGAGAGAAATATTGCAAAAACCCACTAGTTTTTTTTCCCTTGTCTGTTCGTTCCAAGGCATTTATAAAACAACAGGAGAACTCCTCAAGATGTCATTAATGTGAAAGTCTCCCAACATGTATTCTGGATGTATGTTTTATATCTCATGTAAAAATACGAGAACATTCTAAAAGCCCCAGTCTAATAAACTACTCCTTTTGAATTGTGGCATTGAATGGATAGTGTTTATGTAATCATATTTTTAAAAGTCTGAGCAAATCTTTCATGTGTATTTTTTAAAAGCAAGAGAGGTTGTTTTAACCATATCTTCCAGTTATAACTGGCATTTTCTGAGACATTAATATTATTTTTGTCAAAGTTATAGTGTTTTTTCTAGTGCAATAGTTTCACAGTGAGGTACTAAAGTGTAAAAGTTTCCCACTTCGCCGTTACTAGGATTGAAGTTCACAGCACAGGTTTTCTTGAAGGAGCACTCAAAATAATAATGCTGAGTTACCACCTTCTTTTTCTAATACTTCATGTTATTTTGGTATCTTCACGTCCTTTTCAAAGTGACACATAATGTGTTAGGCAGAGCGCTGAGGACCCAATCCTGCAAACACATGTGTTTCATTTTATGCACCTAGCAGTAGCTTGCAGTAAGGAAATTAGATTATTCACAACGCATAAACCTTTGCAGCATCCAGACCTGAGACAGCATCACTCAGCAACCGAGAGCATTTAACCACATATTTCGATAGAGTGCCAGATGGCAAAGAGAACAAAGAAACAAGATTTATAAACATTTGCAGCCAACTTTATACCTCTTACTGCAACACAGCTGCCAGTCATTTCCAGGGAGTTTTACCTGAGAGCAAAACAATTACTCCCCATGTCTAATTACACTATAACGATAATTCCTGCAAGATTGTGAAGCACAGCCACTGCGCGCTGAGCCGCTGCGCACAGTGCGTAGAACACGACGGCTGTGCAACAGGTGATGATTATTATCAGAACAATGTAACTGTTTCCATTCTAGCCCGTTTTCAAAAGGGAAGAGTAGCTCCCTACAACCTCCTTAACAATTACTATGCTGTGCTGAAATCTCCCATTACTGATTTTTTTTTCTACCTGAAGATTTTTAAAGACCAAGCAAAAGTATTTCCACTGTACTTATGAATGAGATTAAAGGATGACGGCATCTTTTCCTAGGAGGGAAAGCACACACCTTTTGCAGATTGCCTTTAGCAGTTCCCCAGCCGGGATAGCCCAGATGTGGGAATTCCTGTTTGGGGAATACAGTCCTGATGGAAGGGGAGCCCTGGGGAGGGTGGAGGGAAGGATGCACAGAGGACCCCTGGCCTTGCTGGCTGTGCTGATGTCCCCCGATACCAAGCTTGGGGCGGCTTTGGCTGATGCCATCCCTGTCCCTCCCGGTCCATGAGAGGCCCCAGAGCAGCCGCCGGAGGTGGGGGGTAGGGGGTCCCCTTACCTGCACCAGGGTCATCTGAGAGCCGAGGGCCAGCAGAATCTTCTCGGTCTTGGTGGGGTAGGGGTTGTCGCGGTGCTTGTAGAGCCACTGCTTGAGCGGCCGCGCCATGTCCTGCAGC